GGCGGGAGGAAACGTGTGCACTTGTGTGAGAGCTTAGATGTGCCTGTACATGTGACACATACCTTCACATACGGAAGGTGGACGCCATGTGCATGTGTGAGTACATGCCTGGGCACCTGTGTTTCTCTGTGTGCACATTCCATACATGCTTGGAAGAATCTGTGTGTGTCTGCGTGTATGTGTACAGGTACATGTGCCTGCATGTGTGAGCATTCACGTGGGCTTCTGTGTCTGTGTGTGCACACGCATGCACTGACTGGGCAGGGCTGAGCGGATCACTCTCCTGCCTTACATTGGCTTGAGGCTTGTGGAGCCACTCTGACCGGGCCCAGGTAGACTGGGTAGAGACTTTTCTGTGGAGGTGAGGCTACTGAACAAGCCCCCAGGACAAGCAGGGAGGGATCCCTGTTGGCCCTGGGGGAGGACAAGGGTGTGGCAGGTATGTCAGCCAGTCAGGAGGAGGGAGAGGGAAGCTTCAGGTGTGTCAGTCTGTCTCAAGCTGGACATGGGGGAAGGGGACTCCCAGTACATCTGCTCATCTGTGAGGCTGGCTAAGACAATGGTGGGAAGGGGGGGGGGGTCTTCAGGTTCTGGAAAGCAGGATTGTAGACCCTCCCAGCTCATCACCAGGCCTGTGGGCCTTTATGCATTTTGACCATGGAGGGAGTAAACCCTGCTGCATTTTGTCCGTGACGGATGTGGTGGTACCTGAAGTCACACCTTCCATGTCTCCCCTTCTTCTGCTTCCAGCTACCCCACTCTGCACACTCTGCATCTTTCCGGATCGGACAGATGAGCAACGTGGAGCTGGATGACGAGCTTCTGGACCCGGTGAGTACAGGCCAGGGGCTCCTAGACCTGAGTGACTGTAAAGATACAAGGCAGGAGTGGAGGGCACACACCACCCAGGGGTCGACTAGGGGGTTGACTCCCAGGGTTGAGCGGCATTAGAAAGTACAGAGAATGTCAGCCCCAACTTGGGCGTGACCTCACCCAGCCCTCAGACAAATGTTCCGACTCCTGTCCACAGTTGCCATGTCAGGGTGTGGGGGAGCTCTGAGCTCCCCACAGCTGAGCTTACCTCTCCTTCTCTGGTGTCCTGGACAGTGCAACCTTGTCTCAGTTCCTCTGCAGCAGATTCGGCCCTTAGCCTTTGCAGTGAAACAGAGCAGAGTTCCTGGAGCCTCACATGCGACAGGCTGCCAATGGTGGCCTTCATAGAAACCTGTCCTCTCTCTACTCTGACCCACCACCTCTGCTCTGACATGCTCTTGGACTCAACACCCAGTGTGTTGTCCCTGAATCCAGTCCCCACTGCTGGACAGGGCATATGACAGTGGGACAGCACTTGTCACCACTCTCTGCACCTGCATGCATCTCTCTGCGTCCCTCCTCTCATGCCCCGGACACATAGCTGGAGGAACCACCAGACTGTCCAATAGTGGCTGCACCATTTTCCATTCCTGCCAAACCTACGGTCACCTGGGAGGACACAGTTGGGCTGGGCCCCCGGAGTCTGTGAGGCTGTAATCTTTACAGAAGCAGAAGGCCTCTTTCTCCCCAGGAGCAGCTGCTTAACAGCCAGGCACTTACCTACTGCACCACCCTGGCTCATCTGAATGCTCACCAAGAACTCCCAGCTCAACCCATTGCCTCAGCGACCCTGCAGTGACAGAACGGCCTGTGGGGTTTGCGAGGCTGTGAACTTCATTGCCCATCTTCTCCCAAGGGGTGTTTGTGCTGTTTTTCTGGGATGTCTGATTTGATGGCAGGAACATGCTGGCCTCCAAGGGTGTGAGGGTTTATAGGATGTACCTCTCCTTTCCTATGCATCTGAGGGTCAGGGTATCAGGTGGGTGACAGTGACTTCCTCCACAGGGGATGGACCCGCCCCAGCCCTTTCCCAAGGAGATCCCCCACAACGAGAAGTTGCTGTCGCTAAAGTATGAGGTGAGCCCTTGCCCAGCCCTGGGATGCTGACCTGGGTCCCCAGCCCTGCCTGGAAGTAATTATCTCTCTCTGCTGAGGCCACAGAGCCTGGACTATGACAACAGTGAGAACCAGCTGTTTCTGGAAGAGGAGCGGCGCATCAACCACACAGTGAGCATTTCCTCCTCCACCCCACCTTCTGGACACTGCTCCCTTCACTTAGTGCTGCCAATCCCTCTCCTACCTCTCCTCCCCCTCCTCGACTCCCTGCTCGTCTACCTCTCCCTCCTCTTGGACCCTGCTCCCTCCACTTAGTGCTGCTATCCCCTCCCCTACCTCTCCTTCCCCTCCTCAACTCCCTTCTCCTCTACCTCTCCCTCCTCTTCCACAGTACTGCTCCGTCCACTTAGTGCTGCTACCCTTCCCTACCTCTCCTCCCTCTCCTCCCTTCACTCTCTCCTCCTCTACCTCTCCCTCCTTCTCCTGAGTGCTGCTCCCTCTACTTCTATTGCTGTACTCTCCCCTCCTTTGCCCTCCCTCCACTCCCTCCTACCTCCCCTTCTTCACTCCCTCCTCCTCCCCTACCTCCCCTCTTCCACTCTCTCCTCCCCCTCCCCCTCCTTCACTCCTTCTCCCCCTCTCCCTCTCCCTCCTCTACTCCTCCTCCCCTACCTCCCCCACCTCTACTCCCTCCCTTACCTCCCCTCCTCCACTCCTTTCTCCTACTCTACCTCCCCCTTCTCCAATGCTGCCAACCTGTCCCCCTCCTTGCTTTCTACTCTCCCTCCTCTTCTTCCTCTTCTCTCACTGTCCTCCCTCCTGCTGTTCTTCCCTCCTCCCCTCCCACTCCCCTCCCACCTCTTCCTCCCCTCTCTCCCTTCCTTCCCTCCTACTGTCTTTCTCCTCCTCCCCCTCCTACCCCTTCTGCACATCTTGGGTTACACCTCAAGTGTCAAGAGCCTGGTTCCTGGCCTAGTGGCAAGAAGCTGTAACTACAGTCCCAGAGGTGCACGGTTTGAATCCACCAGATGCTCTGCCGGGGAAGGAGGGGCAATCTCCTCCTGTACCAGTCAGATCTGATTTGACGGTACACGCACACAAAAATAATAAAATAAAAAATTTAAAAAAAATTTTTTTTTTAAAAAAAGAGCCTGGTTCCTTCCTACCTGTCACCCTGGTAAACAGTGAGATGGGGAGTGATGGGTCACAGCCATGGTGGCTAAGATACCAGATATGGCAGGACACGTGTCAACAGCTAGGAAAACTGCCCTGCTCTTTAGGGCCCTTCCCCGCAGCACCCTACCCAAGTGGGTTTTCTTATGTGATGCTGGTAGAGACACCCTCAGTAGCTGGAGGTGGTGACTACAGGGGTCTCCAGGGCCTCCAGTGACTGTGATGACTGCCCCTCCCTCACAGGCCTTCCGGACAGTGGAGATCAAGCGCTGGGTCATCTGTGCCCTCATCGGCATCCTCACGGGCTTGGTGGCCTGCTTCATTGACATCGTGGTGGAGAACCTGGCTGGGCTCAAGTACAGGGTCGTCAAGGACAGTATCCTTGACCACACCGCCTGTGTGGACCCCAGGCTTAGCCGTGGGTGGGGGCACACTGAACCTCAGACTTGCCAGGTGGATGAGGTTCAACAAGGCCTTGGGGTATCTCTGCAGGGCCTTCCAGACTGTTTGCCCATCCCATGGGGTATAGTCCTCCAGGACATGTCTGCTGGCCAGAGACATATTTGGCGAGATGGGTGGTGGATGGACATTGGGTCCATTGTCAGGCTACCCTCCTTGACTAGCCCAGACATTGACAAATTCACAGAAAAAGGGGGCCTGTCCTTCTCCCTCCTGCTGTGGGCAGTGCTGAACTCCGCCTTCGTGCTGGTGGGCTCGCTGATCGTTGCCTTCGTGGAGGTGGGGCTCCCCAGTCCATATGCTCCCCCACAGGCCTGTAGACAAGGTCCCATGGTTAGATGTGACAGAACCAAATGGGGTTTGCTATCCATAATCTCCCCTCATAGTCTGTAGATGGGGTCCCAAGGTTAGATGTGACAGAACCAGATAGGAGCACCTCCATCCTCATACTTCCCCTCACAGTCCTATTAGCAGGGTCTTATGGTTCAACATGACAGAACCAGGCTATGTGGCCATAGTTTTCAGGAGAAGCAGTGCATCTGGGTACCTTGGGTGCCATCATCCCACAGACCAGATGTGCATTCTTAACAGCCATGCTAACTGGGACCAGAAATGGCAGGCACTGGGAGCCAGAACGGGGTGTTCTGGGGACAGGGTCTCCTGTGAAAGGCAGGAGGGCCAGGTGGAAGTGGAAGAAGGTACTGGAACTAGGCTCAGAAGAGAGTGGCCCTCTCACACTGCCTTTCCCCTGGCAGCCTCCCCACACCCCCATTCTGGAGTGGTAGGGAAAGATGGGCCACATCTGGAAGTTTCTCAGTGTGCGGGTCAAGTCCCTTTTCTTCTGACCTCCTCCCCTGGAGCCATGGGCTCCCTAGGTCTCAAGGTATTGACCTCTCAGGGGGTAGGTAACAAGTGCCTCTTGGCTGGCCTCCTCCTCCACCCCATCATCACAGACCACTTCCTTGCAGCCTGTGGCAGCAGGCAGTGGGATCCCCCAGATCAAGTGTTTTCTCAATGGAGTGAAGATTCCTCATGTGGTGCGGCTCAAGGTGAGCAGGGTGATGCTTTGGGTGGCCACGGTCTGAGGAGAGTTGGGCAGGCTGGATGGACATGAGTGTAGCAGGCAGGTGGGTGTGCAGCAGGAGTGCTGGCTGTGGAAACCATAGTGTAGATCCGGGGAGCTGGGGAGCTGGCTGTGGTGACCATGGTGTAGATCTGGGAGTGGGTGAGGGTAACTGGTTTTGGTGACCATGGTGTATGTAGGTCTAGTAAGGCAAGAGAACTGGCTCTGGAGACCGTGCTGTAGGTCTGAGGTTCAGTGGAGCTGGCCCTGGTGCCTGTGCTGTAGGTCTGGGTTTGGGGGAGCTGGCCCTGGTGTCCATGCGTATGGGGTTCAGGGGAGCTGGCCTTGGTGTCTGCGTATGCGGTTCGGGGGAGCTGGCCCTGGTGTCCGTGCATATGGGGTTCGGGGGAGCTGGCCCTGGTGACTGTGCTGTAGCTCTGGGGAGCGGGAACCTGGAGGGGGCTGTGTCTCCTGTGCTGCAGTTACTGTCCATGTGCCACGTATGTGAGGTGCTTGTGTGAGTTTGGCCCCCATTCTCCACCATGTCCATCCTCAGCCCCAGACAACTGTCTCTCCTTGCCTCCCAGACACTGGTGATCAAGGTGTCAGGGGTGATCCTGTCTGTGGTGGGCGGCCTGGCTGTAGGAAAGGTAACCACCTCCCCGCCCTGTCCGTCCCTGCCCCTCCGCCCCCCCCCCTGCCGCCCCACCCCAGTGCTGGCTGCTGGCCACCCCCTTCCTGAACGCCCTGCCTTCTAGGAAGGGCCCATGATCCACTCAGGCTCTGTGATTGCTGCTGGCATCTCCCAGGGCCGGTCCACTTCGCTCAAGCGCGACTTCAAGGTGAGTACGAGGAGCCCGACCACAGCTCCTCACGCGTGTCAGGGTGTCATCTCTGCAGTGCAGCCACAGTCCCTCCCCCAAGCCCCCATCTGCCCCGCTTTGTTCCCTGTTGTCTCACTGCGCTCCCAGGCCCTTAGATGACAGAACTTCCAGACTGGTTGTTTTCTGAAGTGAGACCCTAACAGTGGGTTTTGGGGGGCTGAGTGGGGTTGCAATTGCGGGATATTTCACCCATGCAGCAGGCTTGTCAGAGATACAGCTAGAACAACTGTGATGCTGTGATTCCCTTTGGGTTCAGTCTCTGAACCCCCAGAGTCCTCATGGGGCCCAGTCCATGAACCTCACTGTCTGTGGCCCAAGTCCATGGACCCTGAGAGCTTGGGTTGGGTCCTGGTCCATGGACCCCAAGAATCCTGTCCTTGCTTCGCTTCCTTCCAAGAGCCTCGGAGCCAGGCTGACTCCTGTCTATCTGCCCATCTGTCCCTTCTCTGACCTTTAAATACTTCCACAGGGGCGTGGAGGCCAGACTGACCCTTGTCCTGCCGTCTGTCTGCCTCTGCTCTAGATCTTTGAGTACTTCCGCAGGGACACAGAGAAGCGCGACTTTGTTTCTGCAGGAGCTGCGGCTGGCGTGTCTGCTGCCTTTGGAGCCCCTGTAGGTAAGAGGAGCCTGTCCTGTGTGCTCATGAGGGACATGTTGGAATGTCACCTCCCCAAACAGCATGGACTAGGGGCAGGTCACAGTGGAATGCTTTGCCCCCCCCCCCGACAGCTTCCAGCATCATCAGACCATGCCTGTGTGGGTCCAGGGGGCCCGGTCCCACCTGGAGGGCTGTGGGGGTGTCTCAGGTGTGTCAGGGTGTTCGTGGCCTTCCCAGGTGGTGTGCTTTTCAGTTTGGAGGAAGGCGCCTCCTTCTGGAACCAGTTTCTGACCTGGAGGATTGTGAGTACCACCAACGCTTTAGTCCACCCTTCTACCCTTCATTTGTATCTGGGTCCATGCTCCTCACCCAGCCCTTGTCTACCCTTTGTCAGCCCCTCACCCCAGTCAGAGCCCCACTTCTCAGCTCCTTTGTCCACCTCTCATCTGCCCCTCATCAGCCCCTCACCAGCCCCTTGGGTGCACTTTTTCACCCCTTGTCTGTGTTGTGATGCCCCCAAGTCATCTGCTGCACAGGCCATCCTCTCCCCATCTTTGACTACCCTGAAAGCTGACCATTCTGTTCCAACTACCACCAGAACCCCATACCACACTCCTCCCCCCCGCCCCCAGCAGCTGAGCTCACTCTTGTCCGATCGTTCCTGCCTGGCCATCAGCCATCATGTCCCCCTATCCTTGGCAGAGCTGGCCCCTCACTTCTGGTTCTTGGCACCATGTTCCTCCCTGTCCTTGGTGGAGTCTCCCTGGCCCCCTCTTCTGACTCTGCTGCAGCCCTGACTACCCTGTGTCCCCCAGTTCTTTGCCTCCATGATCTCCACCTTCACCTTGAACTTCGTGCTTAGCATCTACCATGGCAACATCTGGGACCTCTCCAGCCCAGGCCTCATCAACTTCGGGAGGTTCGACACTGAGGTGATTGCCTGCTGCCCTGTGTTTGTGATCTGGGGTGCTGCAATGTGTCCTTGGGGTCCCACCAAAGCTTCTAAAAGTGAGAGGCTTATAGTTTCCAGCCAGCTGTCCATGATCTCCAGATCCCAAATATCTGCCCAGGATAGGTGTGTAGCAACTGACTACAGCCTGGGATGCCCTCTTTCCCTGGCCAGGCCAGAGTCCCAGGATCTCGGAGCTCAGGGTGGGCATAAGTAGTTGCCATATCCAGAGGGCCCAAGGGTCTGAGCCAGCATTCCCAGAGTGGCTGGCCATGTGCCATGCTACAGAGCCTGTTAAGAAACACTGGCTCAGAGTACACTGAGCTGATGACGTGACTCCTGATAGACCATGTACAGGGAAGACTGGAGTGACACACACAGACAGTCCGGTCATCCGCACGCTGTCCTCCCCAGCCACTGCTCAGCCCAGCCACTCCTCAGGGCATAGCTTCTGGAAAAGATGTGGTTGGCACCTTAGGATAGATTGTTCCATGCTGCCGAGGGTCCTGAACCCCCTTGACCCTGCTGCCTGCTCCCTGTGGCAGTCATGCTGGGCGTGTCCATGTGCACGGGTGGAGCCATGGTGTGGACCCCATGAGTCCGACAGCCTCTGCTTCCCCCTCACCCCCAGAAAATGGTCTACACCATCCATGAGATCCCCATCTTCATCGCCATGGGTGTTGTTGGTGAGTCCTCCCACCCGTGACAGTAGGGACCCCTCCCCACCTGAGGAGTTCTTTCCTGAGCACCCCTTACCCTCTTGTGTGGTTGGGGGTGGTATACAGGGCATGCATGCACCCAGGAGGTTGCACCTCAGTACCCCTGCCATATGTTCATGTGGGGCTCCCTCAGGGTGGCTGCCCAGACGTAAGGTACTGATGCTCTCCTGCCCTTGGCTTTTTAGTCAGAGGTCCGGTGACCTGGGAAGGACAGAACACTCCAGAAAAGTATTTTCTGGGGAGATGAAGCTTAGTGGGCTGAAGGCATCTGATGCCTTTCCTTTCCTGAGTATGTGACCACTGACCCCAGGTTGGGGGGCAGGGCAGAGTGGCCTTCACAGAGCTCCCCCGACCTGCCCTGGTCTCTTGTATAGCCTTGAGGGCCTCCACAGTTGAGGAGCATGGACAGTGCTAAGGAGTGCATAGGCAGGACTGATTGATGTGCGTGTTGCCAGGACATTACGTGTTGGGGCACATGGATGACACTGGGGTGGACAGTCAGTGTTAGAGTGTGTGCTGGTGGTGGGGACACGGGTGGTGCCAGCTAGAGTCTGAGTACGTCCCTCCGATACTGTCTCCCCTCCTGTCACTGGCCACAGGGGGCATTCTTGGAGCTGTGTTCAATGCCTTAAACTACTGGCTGACCATGTTCCGGATCAGGTGAGGCCCTGTCCTATGAACCTTCCCTGAGGCAGAGGTCTGTTTGTTTACAACACTGATGATGGGGATTCAAGACAGGGCATATCTGATGGGGCAGCTCTAGGCCAGTAGAGGAGATAAGGACTGTGTCGGGGGGGCGGAGCTTATGTATATGGGTGTATCTGTTCATATGTGCATGGGCATTGGGGTTGTCTCTACACATGTGCGAGTGCATGTTGTCTGCATGTGGGTGTATGTGAGCATGGTGTGTCTGTGCACCTGAGTGTATATATGTAAGCATATGTGTGTAGTGTCTGTACACCTGTGTACATATGTGGTTTATGGGGGGGGATGCGTGTGTGTGTGTTTATAACCTGAGAAAGTATATTGCATCTCAGTCTAGTTCCCTTACAACTGGTTGACTGATAATATCTCAGATCACATCATTGGAATAATTGCATCATTACGTAACTGCCAAATGACATTGCTCTAGCACTGCGACACTGCTGCCATCCACTAACTCTCCTTGGGCTCACTGACTTATTCTCTTTTCTTTCTGGGAAGAGATTGACTCAGAGCTGCCTCATTCATGTAGCAAAGAAAAGCCCTCTCCATAGGGTTATACCTATAGAAAGAGAGGGTAGGATTTACAGCATGGGTTTTTTAGGGGGACACATTTGAATCCATAACATTCTTTGTGTGTGTCTCTGGTCCACTTGTGTATCTGTGTGAGTTATGTCTGTATTTGTGTCTGCAAGTGTATGTGCACACAAGTGCCAGGGAATATCTAGTTTGTGTGCATACATATGCACATCTGTGTGGTATGTGCGTGCATTAGTGTGTATATTTTCATATGGTGTCACTCTGTACATGTATGTCTGGTTTTGTGGATATATGTGTATGTGTGGTGTGTCTGCATTTGTGTTCATGTGGTGCCACTGCATGTAGTGTGGTCTGCATGTGTGTGGCCATGTGATGTCATCGTGGGCATTGTGTGGTGTGTCTGATTGCAGCATGGTCTGCGTGGGTGGCTATGTGATGTCATCGTGGGCATTATGTGGTGTGTCTATGATTGCAGCATGGTCTGCGTGGGTGGCCATGTGATGTCATTGTGGGCGCTGGGTGGTGGGCATGTGTATGGCTGTGTGGTGAGTCTCTGCCTGTGTCTCTGCTTGTAGTTTATCTGCATGTGTGCATGCATGTGGTGTTGATTTGTGTTCCATGTGTATGTGTATACCTGTTTTTGTGAGGGCTTGTGTGTACATATGAGTGTATAATGTGTGTGGTATATCTGTGCATTCATAGGATGTGCATAGATGTGTTGGGTGAGTGCTGTTGTGTGTGTGTGTGTGTGTGTGTGTGTGTGTGTGTGCGCGCGCGCGCGCGCATGCGCCTGTCTGCCTACATCTGGCCCTGACACCAGCCCTGGCACGTCTCTCTGCTCTAGGTACATCCACCGACCCTGCCTTCAGGTGACTGAGGCTGTGCTGGTGGCTGCTGTCACTGCTACAGTGGCCTTTGTGATGATCTACTCCTCCCGTGACTGCCAGCCCCTGCAGGGGAATGCCATGTCCTACCCACTTCAGGTGAGCAGCTGGGGTGTTGGGATCCTGGCTCATGGCGACCCTGTGTGTCACAGCTGCCCCAGAGGGTCCCCGAGCCTGTAATATGTGGGAGCAGATCACCAGCTTGTTCTCCCATGGAGCCATGGAGGGGATGCCAGCTGCCAGCCTTCCCTGGATCAGCTGAGTGCTTAAGTGCTTGTTAACCAATCCAGGCGGACCCAGCGTTACATAGCATGTGAGGAGAGCCTGAGACACACTACTGTGGAACTGGCTTTCCTTAACGGGCTGATCTCGACTCTCAGCAGCCCCATGTGACAGACTCCCCAGAGGGGTTCCAGGGCTGAAGGGGCCTGATGGTGCACTGGTCAAAGCACCCCACAGCCAGCAAAAAGGTTATTATTTGACCCAGCCATTCACTCCATGGGAGAAAGATGAGGCACTGCTTGCCTCGAGATTTACAGCCACAGAAACCCTCGGGACAGGTTTCCTCTGTCCTGGAGGGTCATCATGAGTTAGTATCCAGTCAGCTGCAGCAGATTGAGTTAAAGGAGCTGTGGTAGCACTTTGGTTAAAGCACTCAGGTGCAGACACAACCATTGGCTGTTTGAATCCCCCAGCCACGCCCAGGGAGATTAAGATGAAGTTGTTTTCTGAAGAGCTTTACAGTCTTAGAAACCCGACAGGGCAGTGTCTCAAAGCTGGGATAAACTCCACAGCAGCAGGTTTGGTTTTTAGAGTTTTTATGCTTTTGACAGAGCCACATCACTAGGTCTTTCTCTCTTTGAGCAGCTGGTAGATTTGAACCTCCAACTTTTTGGTTGGCAGCTGAGCCTTAACCACCACTCCTGGGTGCTCCCAGCACTGTTGCACTCCTCACTACTTAGGGATTTGTCAGAAATGTTTTCTGCGTCCCCACAGCAGCCCTGGAGCCACTGAATCACCCTGCTCCACACGGTGGCCTGAAGCACTCACCCTGCCCAGTGGCTGAGCTTACTTCAAGGACTGGGAGCCCTGCTGTCCGGGGGCCTGCCCAGCAAGGGCGCGGGGCTCTGAGACCCACCTGCTCTCTGGGCCCATTTGCCTCTCACAGTCCCTTCCCTGCAGCTCTTCTGTGCAGATGGCGAGTACAACTCTATGGCTGCCGCCTTCTTCAACACACCGGAGAAGAGTGTGGTCAGCCTCTTCCATGACCCCCCAGGTTAGTGACCGGTGCCTAGGCCTCCAGGTGGACACAGGGCCAGCAGGATACCACCTGGCCAAAGGGGGCCCCATGAGGCTGGTGGACAGGAGCATCCGGCTCAGCCCCTGTCCCACAGGCTCCTACAACCCTATGACGCTTGGCCTCTTCACGCTGGTCTACTTCTTCCTGGCCTGCTGGACCTACGGGCTGACCGTGTCTGCTGGAGTCTTCATCCCCTCGCTACTCATCGGTGCTGCCTGGGGCCGCCTCTTTGGCATCTCCCTGTCCTACCTCACGGGTGCCGCAGTAAGCCTGGGATTGGGGGAGATTTGGGGTGCCCTGGTTACTGGGGCACAAGGGGTGCAGGGGGATCACTGCAGTGAGCTAGAGGGAGCAGAAAGAGTGCAGCGAGTGGTAGGCTAGGGGTGGGGGTGGCACTACCCAGCTGGGGTGTGCTGATGTTAGCTGGAATTGGGGACAGTGAGCCTGGAGGGGATGGAGTGGGGTTAAGGGAGCTGCAGTGAGCACAGGGAGTGGTACCAGCTGCTCTCCCCCAGCTGTACTGCTCTTCTGGTGCAGAGGTCAGCCTGGGCGTTGTTCTCACACAGGACACTGGGTCAGTGCCCTTGAGTATGGCTGCGCTGTGTTTGGGCTTCTGGACACAGCATGGCCCACGGTCAGGGGAGGTCACCACACAGTTGACTCCTTACCCCTCTCCCTGCAGGTCTGGGCGGATCCGGGCAAGTACGCCCTGATGGGAGCTGCTGCCCAGCTTGGTGAGCCCCTGAGGCCAGCAGCTGTGTGTGCTGACCTGAAATGTGGGGGGAGGGCGTAGAGCCACCGTCACACTGTGGTGTCTGAATGGAGACCCCAGTGGGGGCAAGCAAGGACTTGGGTGCTCAGCAGAACTGAGACAGGCCATGCATTCTGATACCTGAGAGGTGACTTCAGAGGCAAGGCAGCATGTCCCAAGCACAAGAGGGGCTGAGTGGTCTATGGGAGAGTTGGCCACAGGACCTGCCATGCTCACCCCCTGGCCCACAGGAGGCATCGTACGGATGACGCTGAGCCTGACGGTCATCATGATGGAAGCCACCAGCAATGTCACCTACGGCTTCCCCATCATGCTGGTCCTCATGACATCCAAGATCGTGGGCGATGTGTTCATCGAGGTGCGCCCCCCCCCCCCCACGGAGGGCAGGGACACTCAGAGTCACCCTGCCCACCCCAGTCCCTGTGGTCAGCACACCCACTCATGCTTCTTAGTGAGGCTGCAGTATTTGTAGCAATGTTGCGGCTCCATCAGTGTGGACACGCTGCCCTGTTGCCCTTGGTGGTATATCTGGTGCCTGGCCCGTTAAGGTGGATGCACTGCCCCGCATTCCCCAACTCCGCATGCCTCCTCACTCCCCACCCCAACACGACCATGCAAACCCAGCTGTCCCCTTTCTCTCCTCCCCTCCTGTAGGGCCTGTATGACATGCACATCCAGCTGCAGAGTGTGCCCTTCCTACACTGGGAGGCCCCAGTCACCTCACACTCACTCACAGCCAGGTACCCCCTGCCCCAATGTAAACCAGAGCCGAGCCCCTACTTTTCTCTAGCTGGGCAGGGAGTATGGAGAATAGACACTGTGGGGTCACGTCTCCGATTCCCTGTGTCTGGCTATGCCTTACTGTTGGGTGGTACTGTGTGGGCTGGCAGAGTTGGATGGGAGCAGGGAGTGTCTGAGTGGGCCCCAGGGCAGCCAGTGGGGAAGGCCTTGGTTGATAGTATTCTCTGCGGGCAGGGAGGTGATGAGCACACCTGTCACCTGTCTGAGGAGGACGGAGAAGGTGGGCGTCATTGTCGACGTCCTCAGTGACCCTGCTTCCAACCACAATGGCTTCCCTGTGGTGGATGACGTGGACAACACCCAGGTATCAGGCAGACCCCCCAGGAGTGGGCAAGTGGGACCTTGGGTCCAGCTACCATCCCAGAGGGTGTATGTCTGTAGGAGGCTGGCTTGCCCTGCCCAGGAAACTCTGGCGCTGTGGTCATATTTAGTGACGTTTCTGTGGGGCAGTGTATGTGGGACACACATTCAGGGCTTGTGTGCCAAGAGGTCTCAACACCACCAGTCTCAAAACTATGCCACAGTCACCATAACATTCACTGAGAAGGATCTCACAACCAGTGAAGCCTGGCTCCCCAGCCTGGGAATGTGGGCTGTTCACCCCAATGTTTGGAAAATATTTCTGGTGGGGCATCCAGCTGTAACTGGGGGTCTGTCATGCCCTCCCTCCTGACTGTTTGCTGACAGTCCAACACAGAAAGAAGGCCGTGACCCTGAGGGGAGTGGGGCCAGGGTCACCAGTGCAAGCATGGACGGGACCCTGCCCTGCACCCAGGGCTCTGTCCAGCACCGCTGGCTCCCACCCTGGCACCCCCGACTGGCCCCACTGCACCCAGCACCTACTTCTCTCCACAGCCTGCCCGGCTACAAGGCCTCATCCTGCGCTCCCAGCTCATCGTTCTCCTGAAGCATAAGGTGTGACTCAGGTTGAGGTCCTGGGTAGGTGGGAGCAGTCAGCGGACAGGAATCCTAGATGAATGTCATTGGAGTCAAGGGGGAGGGGTATAGATTCTGGCAAATAGAACCAGAGATGAGGTCTCAGGAGGATAAAGAAAGGTTTGGGAGAATGTGAGTGGGGGGGCGGGGGCGGGGGGGAGTGGTCCAGAGCAAATACAACCAGAGGTGGGGAATTCTGGGAGAATGTGAGTTGAGTAGGGAAGGGGGAGTGGCCCAGGGTGAATACAACCAGAGGCGGGGTCCCCAGAGAGTCCCAGGAATATACATGTACAGGGGTCCTCCAAGGTGGATTCAGGCAGAGGAACAGGTATTCCAAGTGCTCATGACGGGACAGGGGTGCTTGGCCAGGGTTCCTGGGGACAAGGGTATGTGTCAGGAGTTCTGGTGGTTGGATGACCCTGTGTTCCCCTAATGCTGACACCCCATTGGCTTCAGGTGTTCGTGGAGCGCTCCCACCTGGGCCTGGTGCAGCGCCGGCTGCGGCTCAAGGACTTCCGGGATGCCTACCCCCGCTTCCCGCCCATCCAGTCCATCCACGTGTCCCAGGATGAGCGCGAGTGTCACATGGACCTGTCAGAGTTTATGAACCCATCCCCCTACACTGTGCCCCAGGTCTGCTGGAACCCTCATTCCAGGGGGGAGCCTGTGAAGTCCCAGGAAAGGCTTAGGTTGCCCAAAAGGGATCACATCTCTTGAACATGGGGGCTGAGCAGAACAGGTCTAGTGGGCATGCCTTATCTTTGAGTGAGGACCCTACAGGGCTGGGGCTGGATAGAGGGCCAGGCACGAGTGGGAGCAGAGGTAGGGGCTGAGGCTACTGTTCCTGCAGGAGGCGTCACTGCCAAGGGTCTTCAAACTGTTCCGGGCGCTGGGCCTGAGGCACCTTGTGGTGGTAGACAACCGCAATCAGGTAAGCAGGCCGTGGGGTGGGTGGGGTCAGCTCTCAGCCTGGCCAGGCCCTGTCAGCTGCCCCTGTGCCTACCTGCCCCTTAAGTCAGACAGTCACTTGGCAGACCCAGTTGGGGCCCAGAGGCCTGGGCACAGGTCCAGCGGGCTCTGATGTGGGCTGCCTTGCAGGTGGTGGGTCTGGTGACCAGGAAGGACCTCGCCAGGTACCGGCTAGGCAGAGGCGGCCTTGAGGAACTCTCGCTGGCCCAGACGTGAGGCATTTGCCCTCAGGGCCAGGCACCCCTCCCTATGCACCCCATCACCTCCTCCAGTACCTGTGGTCTACTGCCAAAGCCGCTCCTCAGCCTGACGTGGGCCAGGGAATTCTGGACCCTTGAATGTTCTCCATGCTATGTGCCTCCCCCAGCACCCCTCCTGCTCTAGGCCAGTCTCCTTCCTACGGGGACTGTGCCCCACGGGGCCACACGAGTGCACAGATACACTTCCCTTTCTCCCTGCCTGGTGCCCTCCCAGGAGCAGTGAGGTGCATATGTGGGTGTGAGAGTATCAGTGTGTGCACACATTTGTGAGTGCATCAGTATGTGGACATGTGTGAGAACATAAATGTGTTCACGTGTGGAGGTGTAAGAACATGAATGTAAGTATGAGAGCATCAGTGTGGGCAGATGTGTGCAGGTCCAAGTGTGGATGCGAGCAGGGGTGTGGGGTGGAGTGTGAGGATGAATATGTTGACTGTGTTGGGGAGAGGGTGTTGCATGAATGAATCATGTTAAATACATGAGTTGAAATTGTGTGTGCATATATGTGAACATGCATGTTTCTGTGAGAGACCAAGCCAGGGTCACTGCTGCTGCTGCTCCCCTCTCCGACCCCATGTCCTTCTGTGTAGCCCCCCAGCCTCCTCTTCGTATCTCCATTTACAGTCAGCTGTGAGACTTGTCTGATCCCTGACTCCACTTCTGTGAGACCCTGGCCTGCTCCCCCCCAACCAGCACCGACCTACTTGGTCATGTGCTGGGACTTGTGGCAGGAGGGACACCCCTGTCCTGGACACCCAACAAAGAGAACCTGGGAAGCGGGGGGCCAGGAGTGGCTCCAAGAGATGCACACTGTCCACGGACAGTGGACTCCTGGTCAGTGCCCAGCCTCAACCTGAGCTGTGGGCCTTGGAAAGCACTGAGCCCTTCTCCCTGCTGGAACTAGAGCCTGCAGTGCCAACCTGCAGCCGCCACATCCTGTGTAACCACGATTCAGCACCTCATCTTTCCTACTGTGGTAGCCACTGCAGGGGCTCCAAGGACTCTGTGCTTGGACTGTTAGCCCACAGGGCGCAAGCTGGCTTGAGGGCCACGTGGGCCCAGGATGACCTAGAAGTGGTGTGGCCTTGCTAGTAGCCTTGCAGTCAGTACTGGTTCCCAATGGGGCTCCTTAGGGAACCCAGAGCCCCCAGCCTGTACCTGTCACCAGGCAGCATGGATGTTTAGGCAGAGACTGCTTCTAAGGCCTACCCTCCACTAACGCTGTGGCTCAAGGGCCACCCTTCCTGAGGGCACCACCCCCAGTGGCAGTGTGGATGTCTTCAAACGTGGTAGGGCCCCAGGGGACACCAAGCGGTGATGAAAACACAGCTAAATGAAGGGGGACAGCAGCAGCCTGAGCCTGCCTGGAGAATGAGGCTGCAGGGGCCACAGCTCCACAGAGCCGCTGAGGAAGTGTCCCCATGCAGTGCTCAGGGCCCCATGGGATGTCATTCCTGGGACATCTGTGTGGTCCAATGCTGTCTTTCCAGCTAGACTGAAAAGTGGCCTTGGCAAGGCCAGGCCTGCCCAAAGGGCTCCATGCAGGCCTCTAGTGGCTGCCAGCCCTGGCTGCAGGCTTCTCCAATCTCGAGGACATGGCCTCAGAACGCAGCTGTCCTCTGAGCAATGTTTGTACCAACGATGTGCTGAAATGACTATTTTGGATATATTGGATTAAATAAAAGAGATTCAACTCAGCCTTACCATCTCTTTTCTGATTTAATGGTGTGGCTAGGCTCTCTTCCCAAGAGCCTTGCTGGCATGGTGTGTTACATGTGAAAGTCAGCGGTTCGAATCCATCAGCTGCTACTCAGGATGGCAGGCAGTCTCCTATAAAGATGTAAGCCTTGGAAACCTGAGGGGACTGACTTGATGACCATGAGGTTTCTGATTTGGGTGGGACCTACTTTGGGACGGCCTGGGTCACTCACTAACCCTGTCCTTGGGAGCCTGCCTGAGAGACACCTGACAGAGGCTGTTAGATAGGAACCTCACAGCCCACAGTCCCATTAGGAGTGATGCCTTTGGCCCCATCCTGAAATGGGCAGTTAGGGAGGCCTCCCTGCAACAGTTGGTCTGAGGCTCTGGTGAGGGGCAGAAGGTTCCAGAATACCCGTGCTGCTCCTGTGCCCCTCAGGAAGAGGCAAGATGGGAGGCAGGAGCTTTACTTGGTAGCCTCTGTGGTCCCACATCCCTGCTCGCTGTAGTTGCTCCCACTAATCTTGGACGTGGCTTCTTAAGGTGACCCATGGGATGAAGTGAGCAGGTGCCCGCTCCCAGGGAGGCACGGCTGTGGACTCAGCTACCCAGGGCCTTCATGACCCTGTGTCTGCTGCCAGTGCTGAGTGCCTAAACTCCATGCACTCTGGTGGTGAGGCCACACGCTCCCCAGAAAAGGGGTGTCCTTTGGAGGCCCAGATTCATGCCTGCTAGTGCCACTGCCTGTGCCAGAGGTCACCATCCCCAAGAGCTTCCTTGCTGCAGAGCTGGCAGACATGAACAGCACCTCGTCCTCAGGGGCATCACCCTCCTCCCAGCCCAGCTCCCTCACCCTGGAGGACATGAAGCACCTCTTTGGGGATGGCCTGTTCAGCGCTGAGCCCCTGAACCTCGATGAAATCCCAGAGAAGTTCCAGTCCCACTGCCCTGCCCTAGAACAGGACAGGCCCAGGAACTGGAAACAGCTGGAGCAGTGGTGAGCTGGTGAGAGGGTAGGGGTAGTACCTGTGTCCAGCACCCAGTGTGACAACCCCTCTTCTGCCTGGCAGGCTGGTGGACCTGCAGGCTGAGGTGACCTGCCTCCAGGGACACCGTGACCGTTGTGCACGTGCCGTGCTGGGCCTGGTGCAGGAACTGCTCCAGGTGCGGGCCCAAGTCCAACTGCAGAACGCTGAACTGAAACAGCTGCAGCAGCAGCACACACAACAGTTAACTCGGGACCTCAACCAAGAGTCCTGCGAGGTGGGCTCCTCTCCTGAGCATCCTGACCCCATGCTTGGCCCTCTGCCCCTTATTCCCCTGGACTCCCCGCATCCAGCATCCCAGTGTGAAACCTAGACCTGCACCAAGCTCTCTCTTCCTCTTCACAGCTCTCTGGCACTCTGAGTCAAACCCAGATGCTGGCCTTGGACAAAAGGTACACCAGCTGTTGGTGTGGGCTTATGAGAGGCCATGGGAGCTCAGGCTTCCAGAGGTAGCCTGTGCAGGGGACCATCCAGGGATAGCATTTTGTAACCAACCCCTCCAGTGAGCCATTTTGGTCGGTAAACTGCACACATGGCCCAAATTTAGGAGGCTGTACATGACTTAGTAGCTTGCAGGGGCCTCAGCAGGAGCTGTTGTGACACTTGCCATAGTCTGGGGTGTTTGCTGGGGATGGGTTTGTGCTTTGAGAAGATTCACTGTGAATGAGTGACTCACTGTGGGCAGGAGCTCAGTAGGGATGGCCTTCTGGAAAGAACCATGGGCAAGATCGTCTGTTGGGGGGGATTGATGGGGTGGGAGCTCGTCCCAGGCAAGGCCTCACTGCAGGGGGTGTTTGCTGTGAGTGGAGGGCTTACTAGTGGCTGGAGTCTTGCTGTAAGAGGTCACTGCTATAGGAGGTTGCTGTGGGCAAAGACTCACCCAGGGTGCAGCTCCTGTGGGATGGGGCCTCGCTGAGGGTGGGGTGGTGCCAGCAGGAGCGGTGGTTTGTGTGCCAGGTTGGTGGAGGTCCGAGAGGCCCTGGCTCAGATCCGGAAGAAGCAAGCATTCCAGGACTCAGAGCATAAGAGCTCGGACCAGGAGCTGACCCTCAGGTGGGCCCCATCTTGATAGTCTGATAGTTTAAGGGCTAAGGAGAGGTTTGAACCCACCTAGGACCCTAGGGGGAAGAGGACTTGTGGCTGAGTCCCTGCCCCCCAGCTTCCCCATCAGCCTTTACCTTCTTCAGCCTTTCTTTGATATACCCTGTCTTTGCTTCCATGGTCACTGGGTGGGTGTGTGGGAAGGTGCCTCCTGTTCAGGTCCTGTAGGTCAGCCTGACTGTCAGGACAGGCCTGATCAAAGAATGTGTCCAAAGGTCCTCAGCCCCATGTAAGTCGGCTCCCCACGGCTTCTTGGCTCCGGTCCTACTGCTCATCATCCCCGCTAGCCCCTGCTTCCCAGTGCTCATCGTTCTTGCCTCCACTGTTCCTCTTCTCTGCTTCCTGCTTCTCCTGCCTGACTGTTCATCATCCCTGCTCTCCCATTGTTGAGAGTCCTTGCTCCCCACTGCTCATTGTCCCTTGTTTTCCCACATCTCTTGGCCCTATTCTCCCACCACTGGCCTGATGATTGGCTAACACTACTCCTAGGGTGAACAAGCTGATGGGGAACCTGAGGCAGGAGGGCCATGACCGGAGGGAAGCCTGCAGCGCCCTGCAGAAAAGCCAGGAGGAGACTAGCCAGCGAGTGGAGCATGAGGTGGCCAGGATGCAGGTACCACTGTCACTTGTACCTCACAAATGTCCTTGAGCCCACCCTGCCAGGGTAGCATGGCTAGGGAGGAGGCCTGATGCCCCACCAATGCTCACCCAGCCAACTCCTCCCTTACTCCCACCTCCACCCTCCATCAGTGGTCCTCTGTTCGTGGGACCAAGACCAATCCATGAATCTGTCAATGAAAGAATTGAAATTTCCACTGCAAGAAAAACAAGAAATAAAAAATAAAGGTGGCTTTTTAAAAAGAATGAAGCAGACAAGATACATTAAAATTAATAAAAATAAACTGTCAATTAACCTAACAATTCAACCAACAAACTATCAATGAACCAATCTATTGATTAACTCCAACAAAATATCCATCAATCTATTAAACAACCAATAAACCAATCTACTAAAAATCAACCAACCCTTCTACTGTCTGAAAGGAATAATCTGAAATAAGAGGCACATTGCAAAGTGGACTGAGGGAAGGAGAATAAAGGGAGAGAGGAAACTATGCAACAATGAATGAATGAAAACCCAACCTTTCTGTACACTTTTGTTAAAATCACAATATTAAAAAAATCAGTAAATTAAGCAATTAAAAATTGACTCAGTCAACCAATCACCAATCATCCAACTGATAGTGACAGCATTTTACCAATCAAGCAATCAGTGTTGCATGAAAGGAGAGAAGGTTAGCACTCCCCTTGACCAATCAAGCAATCAGTAATGTAATTTTATGTTATGAAATTTCACTTTATTGAACTTGATATGCCTATATTTTATCTGGTGGCTTAATGGTAAGAAGATGTACTGCCATCTCAAAGGTACATGGTTCAAATCCAACAACTACTCCATGGGAGAAAGATGGTCTAGCTCCTCCCAAGTTATTTACTGCCTCTGAAAACCTGCTGGAGGGTCAGCTATGAGTTTGTTGTGACTAGGTAATACACAACAACAATATTTAATGTAATTTTATTTAATCTTTACTGATTTAAACTCATTTAAAATAAGGATATTCAGATATAGTTTATTTTTGTATTTTAATTCTATTAAACTCATCTTTTGTATTTTATTTTATGGGCTAGTTAGTATTATTTGATATTTGTATTTTATCTTTCACTTAAAAAATTGTATTTAGTAATTCAGGAGGCTGGATGTTATGAGGAGGAATGTGGCATCAAGATTGGAGGAAGACTCATCAACAACCTGTGTTATGCAGATGACACAACCTTGCTTGCAGAAACTAAAGAGGACATGAAGCATTTGCTGCAGAAGGTCAAAAACTGTAGTCTTCAATATGGATTGAAACTTGACATCAAGAAAACAAAGATTCTTAGGGGAGCTCTGGTGGCCTAGTGGCAAGAAGCTGCACTGCAATCCCAGAGGCGCACAGTTCGAATCCACCAGATGCTGTGCCAGAGAAGGAGGGACAATCTCCTCCTGTACCAGTCAGATCTGATTTGATGGTACACACACACACACAAATAATAAAATAAAAAAACAAAACAAAACAAAAACAAAAAGATTCTCACCACTGGGCCAATTGGCAGCTTCATGATGGACGGAGAAGAGATTGAGATTGTTGATAACTTCAGCTTAATTGGTTCGACAGTCAACACACTTGGCTCCAGCAGTCAGGAAATCCAAAATTGAATTGTATTGGGAAAGTTTGCTGTCAGGGACCTCTCTAGAGTACTGAAGAGTAATGCTGTCATTCTGGAGGCTAAGGTGCACCTGATCCAAGCCATGATCTTCACAATTACTTGCTATGCATTAGAGGGGTGGACAATAACTAAGGATGATAGAAGAAGGATTAATGCCTTTGAGTTGTGGTGCTGGAGAAGAGGGTTGAACATACCGTGGACTGCCAGGAGAACAGACAGGCCTGTCCTTGAGAGAGTGAAACCAGGCTGTTCCCTGGAGTCAAGGATTTTGAAGCTCTGTCTCACATACCTTGGGCACGTGGCCAGGAAGGACCAGTCTGTGGAAAGGAACGGTAGAGGGACAGGGCAGGAGAGAAAGACCCAGGATAAAATGGATTGACTCAGTGGCTGGAGAAATGGAATTTAAGTGTGTTGGAGACAGTGAGAATAGGGCAGGATTCAGAGCTACAGAACATAAGGTCTCTGTGAGTCACATGTGACTCCATGTCACATAACAAGTTTAGTGTATTATAGTTTTGTTGTTGCCATTAGGTGCCATTGAGTCAACTACAGCTCATAGCGATGCTGTGAACAACAGATCTGAACTTTGTCTCTTCCTGACCATCTCTTCAATGCTCCAGCCCATGTGACAGTCCTTGCATCAATCTATCTTGTTGGGAAGTTGTCTTCTTTTTCCCTGACCCTCCACCTTTCCCAACGTGATGTCCCTTTTCAAGGACTGACCTCTCTTTATGATATGTCCAAAGTATATGAGACAAAGTCTCACTCTCCTTCCCTCTAAGGGGTACCTTGGTTGCACTTTCTCCAAGACTAACTTGTTTGTTCTTTTGACGTTCTCTGGGTTATTCACTATTCTTCTCCAACATGACTCAAAAACATCAATTCTTGTTCTGTCATCTTCATTCCTTGTCCAACTTTCCGATGGATAGGAAGTAATTGAAAAGACCATGGCTTGAATCAGGAGCACTTTAGTCTTTAAGTTGACCAATGTAATACATCTTTTGACTTCTTGACTGCTGATATCATGACTGTTAATTGTGGAGCCAAGTAAAATGAAATAATTGACAACTTCAATCTTTTCTCCCTCTACTATGCTGTCACCTAGTAATCCAGTGGGGAGGATTTATGTTTTCTTGATGTTTAAACGAACTCTGGTGGCCACGTGGTAAGAAACTGCTGCAATCCCAAAATACAATCCATATTGAAGGCTGTAGTCTGATTTTCTGCAGCAAGTGTTTCAAGTCCTTTTCACTTTTAGCAGGCACAGTTGTATCATCTGCGTAACATAGATTGTCTATTACTCTCCCTTCAATCCTGATGCCAAATTCTTCATGTGGTCTAGCTTCTTGAATTATTTGTTCAGTTTACAGATTGAATAGATATGGAGAAAGGCTACAGCCCTGATACATACCTTCCCTGATTTTAAACCATGCAGCAGTCTCTCTTTTGCTATTCAAACAACAGCTTCATGGTCTGCATGTAAGTTTCACATCAGCACAAATAAGAGTTCTAGAATTCTCATTCTTTTCAGTATTATGATTCACCCAGTCAAATGCCTTTGCATAGTCAATAAAACACACATAAACACAGTTTTGTTTTAGTTTAATATATTTTATAGTAACTTTCATTTATAGTTTAATATACTATTTAATGTAATACAATTTAATTTTCATTTTTATTTCATTGAGTTGTATTTTGTTTAAAATGTTGCTTAATTTTTATTGTATGTTTAATATATATTATTGCTTTTATATAACATTTTGTACTATTTTATATTCCATTGTTTTTAATTTTCTATTTAGTCTTATTTGATCTTTTTAATAGAACTAAATGTAATTTGTAAATACTTTACTCAACTTAATTTTTGCTTTACTTCATTTTATTTATGTCTTAATTGTTTAACATTTTATATAATTTAATTTTATATAATGTTTCACTGTACTTTAAATGATCTGTTAATTACCATCTCAAATTTCATTTTGGTTACTTTGTTCATTGTTATTGTATGCTATTTAATATTTTATTTTCACTTTTTTTAATTTTTATTATTTGTGTGTGTGTGTGTACCGTCAAATCAGATCTGACTGGTACAGGAGGAGCTTGTCCCTCCTTCCCCGGCAGAGCATCTGGTGGATTCGAACCGTGCGCCTCTGGGTTTGCAGTGCAGCTTCTTGCCACTAAGCCACCAGAGCTCCCCTTCACTTTCTTTTTTATGTGTTGTTATATTTTGTTTTATAATGTTTAACTTTGTTTTATTTTCTATGATATACTTAACTATTATTTAGTATTTAATTTTCTTTAGTAGTTTAGTTTAACTTTTTAATGGGGTATATATTATTTATTTCTATTTAGTTTTATTTATATACTATTTTATTTTAGACCTTGGTGACATAGTGGATCAAGATTTACACTGCTAATCCAAAGACAGGCTATTCCAATCCACTAAATGCTCTGTGGGAGAAAGATGGGCAATCTCCTCCCATGCAATTTGTTGTTGTTGTTATGTGCCATGGAGTCACCTGTGATTCATAGAGACCCTATGTACAACAGCTCTGAAGCCTGCCATATCCTGAGCCAGTCTCACTGACTCTGACACACCTTTCCCCATTGCCCTAGTTACTGTACCAATTCATCTCATCCGGGATATTTCTCTCCTTCACTGTCCCTCCACCCTTCTGAGCATGATGGTCCTTCTCCAAGGATCAGTCTCTCCTTGCCACATGCCCAAAATATGTGAGACAGAGCTTTAAAATTCTAGCCTCCAAGGAGAAACTTGGTTCACCCTCTCCAAGAGAGACCTATTTGTTTTCTTGGCAATCCATGGTAGATTCAAGACTCTTCTCCAAAACCACGACTCACAGACATCATTTCTTCTTCTGTCATCTTTAGTCATTGTCCAGCATTGTCCAGTAATTGCAAGGACCATAGCCTGGATCAAGTGCACCTTAGTCTCTAGACTTACATCATTGTTTCTGAATACTCTGGAAAAGTTCCTGACAGTAGATTTTCCCCATGCAATTTGTCTTTTGATTTCCTGACTGCTGGTGCTAAGTGTGTTGATTGTAGAGCCAGCAAGCTGTTAACCTCAGTCACTTCTCCATTCATCATAGTGCTGCCATTTACCCAGTGGTGGGAATCTTCTTGATGTTGAGCTTCAATCCATATTGAAACCTTTCAGGTCCTCCTTAGTTTCAGCAAGTAAGGTTGTGTCATCTGAAAACCCCTGGAGGGGTAGTCCGTTCTGACTTGATGGCAAACAACTACCATTTATTTCATTTATTATTTGTTTTATTTTGCTAAATATTATAGTTAATATATCATTTCATTTTTATGTTGTTGTTGATT